TCGGTGCCTATTGGAACCAGATGAAGAGAAACTGTCTGGGTGGAGAGAAAACCCAACACTGAAGTCAGCCAGAGGCAGTCAGCAGACAGACATAGATCACGGGTTTAGGAGCTGGACGTAAATGCAACATAACGACAGCCATTATGTGCAAACTCCATTTTTTTAAACGGAGCCATTAAAAGTTATAAGTCGCCTTTAACACATGTCGACTGAAACACATGGGAAGATGAGCTATGAAACGTCTCTTGAGGACAAAACGAAGCCCTTTTGATTTAGTCACAGCCTACCGCTGCCACTTTGTGGTGAACACATTTGTTCTCCACATAAAATGAAATGTATTTGTTCAAGCGTGTTTCAATCCACTTGGATGAACAGATTCTGAGCCACAAGCTTGTCCGGATGGCGCATAAGATGATTGATGAATTTTGCTTCAGCTTCAAGCTCTAACTTTCTATCATTTCTGATGGCTTTTCAAGATGAGGAAATAACTCACGGGAGATGTTCAACCTGCATTCTCCACCTGCGTTTTCACACAACGAGCACAGAGGTGAGGACAGTCGCTGTGGGAAATACCCTCTTTTTTCATGTCGATTTTGAAACATCATGAAACATCAATCAATAATCTGATGTGTGATGACAACAAAATGTAACGTCGTCGCCTGTGTGTTCCATGACTTTGTATTTTTACAATGTAAAGACCTTTGGACTGCCACGTTGCTGAAAGGTGCTATGCAAATAAAATTTGATTGATCCCCGTGGCTTTTCTTTTGGATCACAAGATAATAAACACAATCAAACAACTATTTTAACTATGACAGTTGCAGAAGTTTGATACAAGGAACACCTTTTAAGTTTTGATTATTTTTTGATGGTGGTTTTTTTAAAATTATTATTCTGTCACTCGCCAGAAATACTGAATATATCACCAGATATCCTGTCGTCTTCATTGATCGTGGAGGGCCAGCAGAGGTTTAGATGCATGCAGTCCTGCAAACGTGGCATTTGTTCAAAGACACTGTAGCGACTCAAAATTCATTTTTTTATTTTGGTCTGAGAGACTTTTATAGCACACATGAGTTCACAAGCAGCCTTATGAAGACCAGGGAACGCAGCTGATGGGTTCAAGACAGGGACATTTAAATCAGTGCTATAAAACAATATCTAAGGCTTTCAGCGGGAACACTGAAGTTGGTGGGAAAACGGATGGGAGAGAAAAGGAAAAACAATCCAGTCCTTTTGTCCCATTTCATCATTGCGCTGGTGTCTGATTTATTCCAAGGTAACTTTGGGTCTCGGGTGAAAGGTTTGAGCAGGGACAGCACATGCTGTGTCCTTGCTCAAAGCGTTTTGTAGTGTAGTAAAGCGTTTTGGCACAATGCATTTTGGAGGCAATTTACTATTTATTATACATTGACACGGATTGGATTCTTCTTTCTTTCTTTCCACAAAAAAACCCCTCTAATCTGTTTAGTTTCATTTATTGAGACGCCCCAGGTAATATTTCATGAAACCTACTTTGGGTTAATTTCACGCTCAGACTGGACAGAGAGCGTCTGTCGAAACATGACAAAGCCATAAAGAAAGTCCAACTTTAAAGTCCAACAGCTGAATACTTCAGCGTGAACTTACTGAACAGCTTGTCTTCCCAGCACATTGTCCAGGGGTGACCGCGCAGGTAGAGGAGGCAACAATCCCAAAAACGTGTGGATGTTGTGGTGAGATGTGAGGGGTGAACACATTCTTAAATAACCACTACAGGGAGGGGAGCAGAGGAGGCTTGCTGATGGCCTCTGGCCTTTAGGATGTCAATATAATGGAGTAAAAGTTTGGGACCCTATTGAGCTCAAAGGAGATCCCATTCACTCCGCACAGCAACCCAGCCTGAAGCCATTATCTTAGTCTAAGAAAGTTTTGTTCTTTGTCCAGGCCGCAACAGAGGAGCGAAATAATGAACCTTCAGTCCCTGAATAGACTGCTTACGTCTCTTTTTACTAATATTTACGCTGACTAAAAGCTCAGTAGGACGTAAAAAATATTATATATCTAAGAATGCAGAGTGGATCGCAAAAGGGAGGTTATGTTTTCGTTTGATCGTTCTCCATAAAATAGGAGAGAATTTTTCTACAGGGCCAGCATTCATTTCAGAGACTTGATGTCACATACAGGTGAATTAAATCAATTTGTTTTTAAAGTTGCTGACAACTTTAGATATTGATGAAGTTAACATTCAGATTAAAAACAGTGCATTGAGCGAAAACAGTAAAGAAATTTGTAACTACGAAAAACAAAACAAGATAAACTAAACACTTATCTTATCCCTTGTCCCAGAACTATTACAATTCTTGGTGGAAAAAACTAAACCAAAAAGTTTTATTTTTTTCAACATGGGATTTTTTTTCTGGTCTTACTCTTATTTTGGGAAAGCAAATTGATCGGGGACATTTTCCCTTTGGAGAGTGTGAGAGTGTGATCCCCCAGCACTTAGAAGTGCCTGGGCACAGCTGGGGTCGCCCCTTTCTCCCTCCCCGGGTCTCCGACTGCGTGTTTTATCGGACCGCCACGGCAGATTACTCCACACAGCTGCCCGAGCACCGTGGAAATGAAGCTATGCGTCCTGTCAGCTCTGTTTGTGCTCCCCTCTTTCACTCGTTAGGCACTCTGTCTTCAATTGGACAGCGGGAGGGGACCAGAAGAGGACAACCTCTGTCCGGCGTCGCCACCGAAAGCCACCCGATTGGCTGGCTGGAAGTCCTTTTGCTGAATCATCATTCAACAGGGCTTAAACCCCCTCCAACATCCCCACCGCTATGTTTCCCTCATAAATCAGCCCCTTCCTCCATCTTTCCCACCTCTATAAAACATGACCCCCACCTCCAACCCCTCTTAGCCTCAATGCCCCCTCCCCCACCAACCTGTAATTACTGTGGGCCAATGGTATTTTTTTGTTTGGTTTATTTTTTTTCAGCTCACTTTGCTTTAGGTAAATGTGGCTATTTGATTTCTTTTTATTAAATGCGAGGCCTTCTGCTTTTTAAGCAAAACCATATGTGTAGATTTTAAAGACAGAGTCAGCTGGCATCAGCTCGGGTGACTCAGTAACCAACATGACGAAGCGGCCTTTTCTGGGCAGCAGACTTCACATGCATCTTCGTTGGATGTTTATTTTATTTTGATTTGCATTGAATTAGAAACTACTTGATCCATGTATATCGGGATACTACTTGAGATTTTGACAGATTGATAGACAGAAAAGCCGTGTGCTGGTGTTATGTTTGAGAATGCATAACTCAAACGTATTAAATCCAGTCAAATGGCTTGATGACGGAAATTCTTTTAAAGCTCTTTGTGCTAACTGAGTTTTTTCAAGCAGGCCCTCGTCAACAAAGCCTACAGCGGTCAACTTTTGCAGACACCTTTGCTTAATTTTTTAAATGAAAATGTGTTCATTTTAAGCACAATTTTTTTTAACCTGCGTTACATAAGAAAAAAATGTTGCTTGACTGCTGCAACACTCCCACAGAACACATGTACAATACCACTATAAAATCATGACTCAAATATCACAGTAATCACCCCATATTTACATAATTACATAGTCATATACTTCTACATAGCACTATGGGATGCTTCGCTCACCTAGGCATGCTGGATGCTTGAAACTAGAATAGTTAATGTCCAGATTAGAACAGAACCTGTTTTTTTCTGCAGGATTGTGAAATCTTGGCGTATTCCTTGCAAAAAATGTAAGTCCACAACTACTTCTGATGTTTTAAGTCACTTTGTACAACAAAGCAGGGCTACTGTTTTATCACTTATGTGTTCAACTGAGGAAGACCTCTAAATATTATTCTGCTAAACTAACTGTTAACCAAAACAAATGAGAAGCTGTGCATGGAGCGTCGGCAGATCTGAACTCTCTCACATGCTCTTCTCCTCCGTCTTCTACTGGGACAGCTGTCTTCTCTCTTCCCCCACTCCATGTGAAGGGTGACAGGAGAACAGGGTGAATGAAGTGCCCCGACATTGTGCCGCTGCACCATTGTGTGTTTTGCATCCGCATAAAAGAGATGCCACTCGACTTTTCGTCCGACCAATGGGTCGGAGAAAAGACCCCAGAGCCCCCCATAGAAAAGTAGAATAGCTCCCATCGTTGGTTTTAAGACCTATTATCGTAAGTGAAGGAGGGGGGCAAAGTTTTTCCTTTTTTTTTTATTTTTTTAGAAATCTCAGAGAGCTGGCTCCACATGAGCCACAGGCATGCCTGTTGGAGACATCTGAAAAGTCTGCAAAACTATAATCTAAAAAGCTGTAAATGTGTTTCAGCAACAATGTTCCATATTTCCGAGAAAACTTCAATTAACAGCGGAAAATATGCCCGGAAAATGTGCGGCGAATAAATAAAACGCGTTTGTCTTTTTTCTTCGCTGACAATAATGTCATGCAGCTCCAGTAAATTCTCCTTATTTTGGGCCTTTTAGCGTCTCTGTGGTTTTGGTCAATCTTCATTGTAAATTGAATTTTTGATACAATTTGCAAGATTGTACCGGTCTTGTATATTGATCTCTCTCTTTTTTTTTTCTTCTTTTTTTTTTATCAGATCAACAAATTAAGAGAATTGCTTCTGCTCTTCTGATCTTTTGCATAAGAAAACATGATCTGCAACTCCAGTAAGCAATATTTACCAGTAGGGGGTGTGACTCATTTTTGCTGTTTCAGCTTTTTTAGTCGTTTCATAGAACTTAGTTGGAACTTGCTGATATCAAATGACTTAAAATGACTGTACAAAGTCTACCTTAGTGAAATACAGTTATATAACGCTGAAAGATATCTACCAGCAGGGGGCGCTGCTTTGTTTTTGTTCCGTCTTGTTTGCCATGGGGACATTTTGCACCCACCATGAAAAGATGCCACTCAAAAATGCTGTTAAAAATGATAACAGCGCCAATAAAGAACAAAAATCTTTCCTTCCCATAAAAACAATAACTCGTGTGAGGCAGAAATTACATTTAAAAATCACTTTATTCCGTATAGTGTTACATTCATGGGTCTGTGTTCTTAACAGGTACATAAAATCTCTCATCAAATCTCAAACACATTTTTCTTTTTTTTCCCAAGCATTGCGCATTTGAAGTATTGAAACAAAACAGGCACTGAAGACAAAACAAGGCGACCGAGCAACTTTTTTTTTTTTTGGCTCCAAATCCCCCAGCAGGGCGATTTATCCTTTCTTTGGTCTGTTTGAACATGCATTCGTCAGGAATTAACGCTTCTGCCGTCTGCAAACATCCATGTTTACAGAGACAAGTGCATCATTCTAAGAGCTGCACCACAGCAGATGTCAGAATCTGCCCTGGGGTTAAAACTCATTCAAGTGGCTTAAATGAACTTTGGTTTCTCTCAAAGGGAAGTGACGCTTACTGCGGAACTTTAGGCACGTAGAGACAACACAAGCTTTCTTCATCTGTGAAACACACGGCTGTACAAAGGCGGGGCTCACCTTGCCATACAGTGCAACTCGTCCGTATATATGTGTGTATGTATATAAAAAACTCCTTTTTTATGATACTGCATTGTTTCAACAAAATATGCACACATTTAAAGCGTGTAGTTTAACACGTTTGCATTAAAAAAAATGCTTTTAAGTCTAATTTTCAGATGATATTTCAGAGGCAGCCCAAGGTACAAGCAAATGTTTTGGGCCCTCTGCTGGTCTGGAGGTCGTAAGAAAATTGAACTTTACTATGAAGAAAAAAAAAACAAACAAACAAACAAAAAAAAATAAAAATCCACGTGTTGTACAAAATGTACAACAAAGACGTCACTTTTATTTAAAGCGGGAAAGCAATTGCTATTTCACCCGCTGCAAAAATAATTTAGCATCTTGATTATGACGCATTTAACATTGTCACCTGTGGCATTATTTTATTACTAAATTCAATCTTATAATTAGATCTGGTCAAAAATGTAGAATGAACTGCTGCTGACTTTTGGTCGTTTTTAGGTAAATGTCCTTATTGCACAGAATATGATGAATCTGACCTTTATCACCATTTCGTGGAGTAATACTGGGAGTTTGCTGAATTGAAATTGGTGCTGGTTTTGGTGGTAACACAAAGCCATGAATTTTCTCCACTTTTAAAATCTGGTTCGACTGTATGGACAACATTTCTGCTTTCCAAATGATAACCTTTGCAGCTGAAAAGTACCATTAACTGGATCATATTTAATGCAAGAGTATTTTTTCTTTTTTTTTTTCTGCCTGTGTCTGAACTGGAGTTGAATTTCGGTGACCTTTACCCCTTTAACTATAAGCTCTGCCTTCCTGCCTAGCTCTCTAGGGTATGTGAGGTTAGCTGCAGTGGGGATCCCAGATGGAGTTCCGCTCAGGGCCCCCGGGTTCTTCAGACTGGCCCTGGTCAACGTCATTTTTTTTTACCACGTAATTTAAAAAAAAAGAAAAAAAACAGTTGATAACAGTCCTTCAGATGAATCCTGCCACAGCCACCATGAAGGTTAAAGCTTTCAGGCGTGTTTGATAAGTTGGAGAGCTGCCGGAGTTCTCCACATAATAATCCTGGTAAACATCGTCTTCCTCCGTGTCCTCCTCGGAGTCTCCGAAGCCGCTGCCCGCGAACCTGTCGCCGGACTCCGCGCACAGAGTCGTCATCCTCTGCTTGATGTACTCGCAGATGTTCCTGTCGGTGCCGTCGCAGACGCAGGCGTCGAGCTGCTGCGCCCGCGGCATGGCGCGCATCTTGGCGATCATCTTGCGGCAGCTCTCCGAGCACCTCTGGCCCCCGAAGAGCTTCCGGCAGTGGAACAGGTAGTCCGCCATCGCCGAGCTGCACGCCGGGTCCGTCTCGCACTGCAGCCGCGCCTCGGTGCAGCCCATGGTGCTGGTCCGCGGCACGCACGGGTCGACGGCTCGCTGGGTGCTCCGGCACACCGGGTCCGCGGCGCAGTCGCAGTCCTCCAGGTCCGGGCCGCGCCGGGTCAGGTTGAGCTGGATGAGGGACGAGATGCAGTGGCTGGGACACTTCCTGCGCGCGCCGCTGATGACGGACGCGCACGCGTGCAGGTATTGGTCGTACGCGTAACGGCACTCGGCTTCTCCCTGGCATCTGAGGATGGCTTTCCAGCACACGGGGCGGTGGTTGCGGTTCGGAGATCCACCGCAAGCACCGACGGCCATGATCAACTCGCAGCATATCAGAAGTAGGAGCCGCTCCATTAATGACGGCGACAGCGCGATTTCACCCGAGCATGTAAAACTGGCCTCACAAGAACGTCTCCATCGTGAAGTCGACCCAGAGTAAGGAGGATCGCTTCTCATCCCGTCACAGACTGAGGCTCGACGGCGGCGCGGCGCCGCCACAAAGCGCAGAGCTGCACAGTTACAACCATGTTTCAGGTTTGGAGAAACTTTCAAAGTTGAAGCATATTCTTAGTTTCGGTTCAGCAATTTAAAATAAAATAAATAAATAAAATTAAAAAAAGTTCGGGTAAAGCTCGGCAAGACGAGTCTGGAACACTTATCTCCAGCTTTGCTTTCCAGAGACGCATTGGCTCCTGACTCCAGGTCTCTGGGTAAGTGCGGGAGTTGCAGCTGCAGCAGGACTTCGTTCAGGAACAACAGCGGCTGATTGGTCCGCTGCGAACTGCTGCGAGTCTGTCGTCACCTATTGTGGTCTGTGACGCAACTTACGCACACTGACTGCTCCTGAAAAGATGCCATGCTGAGTTAGTTAGTTAGTTAGTTAGTTAGATAGATAGATAGATAGATAGATAGATAGATAGATAGATAGATAGATAGATAGATAGATAGATAGATAGATAGATAGATAGATAGATAGATAGATAGATAGATAGATAGATAGATAGATAGATAGATAGATAGATAGATAGATAGATAGATAGAATAACACTTGACATTTTATGCATTTTACGCATTAGATCCCAAACTCTAATTTTTTTCTTTTGCGTTGCTGTCTTTAGCCTTACTGAGTTAAATTTGCATCTATAGGAACGAAAACAAGGATTTCTGTGGGGGGACAAGAGGCAAGGCAGCACCTTTCAGCCAGAGACAATTCAAAGTGCTCCTACAAAGAAGTTAAAAAACAACAAACAAGATAAAGCACGTCAAACAGATTACAATTAAACAGTAAGAAGGAGAAAAGAATAGGCATTTTCTTATTTTTCCTTTGTCAATGAGACATGGCAACATTTTAAGAGTAGGCAAGAGCAAACAGAAATGTTTTATTTATTTATTTACTTATTTATTTACCTATTTTAGGGGGAAGTCACAAAGATATGATAAGGGTGGAGAAACTCCGTATGTGACATTTGACTTTACGGCTCTGTTTAGCGCAGCGTCAAACAATTTCATCCACTTTTACAATTTACCAGCCAGTATGTGAAAAGATCAACAGTGTGGGCACAGGTGAGCTTGAGCCGTTTCACAGACACATAGAAAGATGAACAGACAGACATATGGATAGTAGTTTACAGCTGTCTTATGTTGGTAAAGTAGTTGAGGGCAAGTTATGTGAAAAGAAAACTTTACTAGTTCTTTGGGGGGTTTTTTAGTTTTGTGGGGATTTTTTTCTTACAACCGTTTCCTTAACTGGCCGTTTTGAACAGGCGAAAACACACAGAAGTGCCTCCAGGATTTGCTGAAGGGTATTTCCTCCTTCTCGCTGCTGCGTGAACAATCACTGAGGTTAATGGTGGTGCAGGTGAAGCCTGCTGGGACCGGTTTGGGTCCTGAGGCTGACAGCAGCAGGACGGAGCACAAGAAGCAAAACCCATCCGGTGACTTGCAAAAGACCCTTTTTTTCCCTCTGACCCCGTCACATCACCAAACTTTTACTTCAAACGATCCGGCAGCTCTCAGGGGTCTTTGGACCCCAAAATACCAATTAGAGAGATTAGAGAGGAGTCAAAACAAGAGCCGAGGAGTCTTACTAACCTTGCCGTCCAAACCCCCCTCCCTCCCTCCATCTCCTCTCTGCCTCATCCAGCTGGCATTCCATTCCAACAAAGTTACTTCAGGGCTTCATTTCACACATCAAAGTTGAGGAGCGAGAAGGCCTGAACGTCGAAACGGCCGAGCGTTTCTGAAGACCGTGGCCTCGGATCTCGACTTCCGAGAAAGATTTTCACTGTCGTTCAGAAAGAAAGAATGAAAAAAAAAGGAGGAAAAAAACTGAACAGCACACCCGGCCTTAACATACTTACACTTTACTTTTAAGGCTGAGTTTATAAAGCACAGCAGAGCCCAAATCCCTCCAGTGTTGGACGGCGGCCAAACAAGAACAACAGCCAGATTGAGTGGAGCCAGCAGCTCTAATGGAGCACTCCCTGTAACTGTACCTCTTAGACCAGTTCTCATTTACATTCTTCACTTCTACATCATCTATTTCCAAATTGTTCCAGTTTTAAAGGAGGGTGGGGGGGGGGTGAGGCTTTCTTTTCTATGTATTTCAGAGTGATAGTTAGATCCATGTGGTTGTTCACGGCGACTCGCTCATGATGCTGTTTCCAGAAATGGAATGCGGTTCCCCAGAGTTGGATTTTGTAAATACTTCCAGAGAGACAGATACTTACAGCTCTTCGGTTCGTCTCCACCGCTGTCAGATGTCATTATACACAAAGCTGCCCTGCCAGAACAATGCGCTGAGCTTTGTATTAAACAGCCTCCAAAAGCCTGGAGGGTGGAGAAGGCAGTAATGAAGAGCTGCCAGGAATTTTTATCTTTTTTTTTTTTTCTTCATTTTTTGGGGGGGGGGCAATCGAAGCTGCTCACGTGTCAGTTTTACCCCGTCAGCGAGAAAAAAAGCTGTTGATGGGAAATTTTCTGAAAAAAAAAACAAAACAAAACAAAAAAAACAACCTTTGACCTTTTGTTCTCCTGCGCAGGTACAAAAAACAGTTACCGGAGCGCCGTCGTCTGCATGTGCGCCGCTCAGAGAAATGCTCTCGGTGACAGACTGCAGCATGTGGTTCATAGCTTTGAAAACCAGGTGGTTTTTTTTTTCTTTTTTTATTCATCACAGTTGCACGAACAAACATTTTTGCAGCACATGATTTATTTCATTTTTGTTGCAGTAGTTCGCTGCAGTTCTCCACCGGTTTTGCGTTCCACGTTACTGCTCTGTCCCTAAATTCATTGTCTCAGTTTTTCACTGTCGAGTTCATGGTGACGATGTCCAGTGGTAGGAGGCGCTGTAAGGCAAAAAAAAAAGTTTAATATTAGACAGAAAATTTGAAAATATTACTAGGTAATTACGTGCTACGGGAAGACATTACGAAAAATACCTAAACCGCAACTATAAATTATTTAAAAAGACAAACAAAAAAAAAGCATAAAATCAGTAAAATATGCTCAGCCTGGTCGTAGTGCTAGTGAAGCCTGGCGGCCCGCCAGGCTCATATTTCACTGTGGGAAACTGATAAACTGGCTTGCTGTGCCATTTTTGGGAGCATTTCCCATCATTCTTTTCTCCAGAGCTTCTCAATTTTAGGTTGGTTGGATGAGCAGCGTTGGTAGACAAATATTTGTAGTTCTTTCCAAAAATGTTCAGTTGCATCGGTCCAATAAGTGACGCTCGCAGATTTCTTCTGAAGCCGCTCTTGGTTTGTACCACTTGCAGGAAGGTTTTCCTCAAGCATCCCACTTTTATTTTTTTATTTTTTTATTATCAAGCAGTATAGCTTCCAGCACAATCCATGTCTTTATCACACTAGAGATGTTTGATTGCGATAATCAGTTTCTGAGTCTACGATGATTCCCTCCAGAGAGGCTTCGTTACACAACAGGAAAACAACTTTTACTTTGATAAACTGGCTATAATGAGAGAATGACAATAAACTGCTTCTTTTTCCCCCAGGACTTTTCTACAAAAACTTGAAGATTTCCTCCACTTGTTTTCAGAAGCTCTAAATGACATGGAATATATTTTTTTTCTTCTGGTCGTCAATTGCGGTTGGGCGAAGGAAATGTGCAGTAGAGTCTGCTCAGTGTGCAACAACCCGGACGTGTTTCGTTGTTCCCACAAATGTGCGTTCACAGATGATGAATGATTAGTCTGGGGGTACAGAAGGAGGGAAGCTGCAACAGGACCTCAAACGCAAACGGCAATTTTAGGTTCGTTTGAAACACGAACTCTCCTCGCCAGACACTTATCCTTTCGAGAAGAAATGGCCGCTCAGGGACGGATATGTCACCGCATGCATGTCAACACAGAGAAGCCTTTGTTCACAGCATGGAGAAAGATAATTACCGCCCAACATCCGAGAGGCGAGCAGAAAGAGGGGGGAGTATATGTTTTCAGGGCTTCTCGCGATTTGTGCGCGCTTTAATCAGAAACAGGCCTAATCGAGCAGCTCAATAATTTTTATTATTCCTGTTGCTCTTTTCGTTTACAAGTCGTTTTGTGACTTGTAAAACCTAGAGCGGTTCTTCCGGGGAAATGGATATGGTGGCTGCAAACATTAAAACATCTTGGCCTGGACGGCTTCCAGAAGAACTCAAATGACAACTGTGGACGAGTTTCTGAGCCGAGCCCGCTTCGCTCGGCTCAGAAACTAGCATTCACTGTTTCTGAGTGAATGCTCAGAAACTGTTTCCGAATGTGTCTGTTTGGGAATCGCGTTTTCATGACTTTGTGCCTTCGTTTGGCGACATCCCTGGATCACAGCAGCTTCTGACAAAGGAAAGCAAAACCGGAAAAAGAAACTCATCAAGATGTCACGTTTTTGTCCCAACAACAAGTAAAGAATGCAAAAAAATAGAAGAAAACAAAAGGACTCACGTATTTTTTATTTTTTTAAACTTTTGAGCATTTCTGTCAATTTTTGTGAACATGTACTTCACCTTTTGTACCGGCTTGCATTTTTAATTTGATGTTCTAACACTAACAAATAGGCTTGCGGCACCAAGAAATTTTCTTCTATGTATCTTTTCAAGATTTACATTATCATTGCCGATTATCGCTTCTGTGTGTTTGCCATGTCTTTCGAATGACACAAACTTGGTTTTTATCTAAGTCTGATAAGTTCATTTAAATCAAAAATGCTTGTTTATTTCATGTCTTTCCTCTGTACTCAGCTCTAAAACCGGCTGCAAATCCACCCCAGAACAACAAAACACACGTCAATACATTTGGTGCTCATTGATAAACACTTTCAGGCCTGAAGCTGAACCCCTCACACCGCACCCAGGAGTCTTCGCTTAACGTTGACTCTTTTGTCTGTTAGTCAGCATCTCCACATGCAGATGGGCACCGCCGACTTACGTGCTTTCCCTGACGTTTCCCAGAGTGACACCACTCGGCATTGCAAATAGGAACTACGCATTCCCAAAAACAAAAAAATAAAACTCCATGCAGGACAGTGCCGAAAGTCATTCGCAAAACTAATTACCAAGAGCGTTGACCCCGATACAAAAGGAACAAGAAAAAACGATCCAACCATAAACAAGTGAAACATATCGAAGAGCATCATTTGATATCCCATATTTTAGTTGACGTGGGAGAAGCCTGTAGTTTAATGGCCAGCCTGTCTTCAGAGACGG